TGCGACTCACACCAGTCAGCTAACACTCAAGTACTTATTTATTGCTAGGTGAACAGGGTCAGCAGGTGTAAGGAAAAATGCCCAGTGTTTCCACTCATGCCGGGATTGAACCACGAATACTCAGGGAGAGGCGAGAGCCTCAAGCCAGTTCTCGGTTAATAATTGAATTAGAGTGTAAAATTATTATTGCCAAGACCTCCGAAGTATTATAACTCGCATCCTTGCTAAAAGTTGTTTGGTTTTTAGGGTGTAACTTCTCACATGTCTTAAAATATCTTACGCAAGGAGGCTTTATAAATGTTTATATACTTTTAAATTAATAGTAGCATATCCTATTCGATATTCAATAAAGTACTGATTCATAAATAAAGGTCCATAAATGTATATAATTGCTTGTATATTAATTTAGACACAAAATTATTGCTTGAACTCGCTGGAAGCCTGGTCAGTAGGTTTCAACCGTAGCGCCCGAACTTAGGTAGTACCTCTTGTGAAATAAATGTTTGTAAATGCACAGTAACCAGAAATTTTTCATGCATATGTAAATTTAATACAGGGAGAAAAATGTGGCACAATTGTTTGAGAGTATTTTGTTAAGATTTTGAAGAGTTAGTGCCTTAGCGTGTATTGATTGATGACGTCACAAGTGCGTCACTCCTCCGCCCAGCGCCTCCCGCCATTTGCAAGCGTCTCGCACGTTCCTGTCTGGCTGTGATATGTGAGTATGATTTATTTCCCTCCCGTAATTTTGGCAATACGCCTTGTTTACGGTTTAGAGTTGTACCATTAGTTGAGGCTTCGCATAGAGATTATTCCGGTGTAACTTTTTCCGTGGTATTCTTTGAATTAAGGGTGAAATATGTGAAAATCGGAAGTTGAATTTCGTGTTCCGGGATTTGGGCGTTTGGCGGCGTCCGTTGCCGGGAGGGGACGCGCGCTGCAGTTGCTGAGTCGGAATTATTCCTCCTAACTCTTAACTTAGTTTATCCTGCTAGCAAACTTGATCCTTAGACTTTTTCTATTAATTGGAATATTTATCGTATTTGGGTTTTATTTTTGTTTATAAATTGTTGAGTGAGTGATGAGGTGAGTAAAAGTTGGTGTGATGGCATCTGTGGAGATGTGGTCCGGGACTCGGGCAGCCTCGGGACAGACAAAGAAACACCCAAAGGCGCCCATTTCTTGCCCGCCCTCTCACTCGCTCAACCCCCCGGGCTACTCTTAAATTATTGCACGCACCTTGCTAATGTTGCTAATAACGTGAGTGAGCGGTGCTTGGCCACGGCCGCTACTGCCACCTCTCGTCGACTCGAGATTGATTAATTTAAATTGTGATATTTGTGAGAACGATATGCGTGAGCTGGAATTACTGCCTTTGTTCGTGAGCTTCTTGGTGTCGACGTAATGCTCTCCTGCCTTCAGTGTTGTCTTAACTCTCACAAGCTCAGTGTCTTCCTCAGGTGATTTGTTTATAAAACACAAGTTGGAAAGTTTTCAAGTTTTTATGCACCACCAAGGGACCAGAGTGAGTTATGTTATATTGTTTACGTGGAAACATTACAAACTGGTAGGCCTAACATGTTGCATTGCCTTGCTGACCTTCGCTTAATTTTCCAGTGAAAATTCGAAGCTGTGACTTATTAAATTAAAAGTGGTACATATGAAATAGATAAACTTGAGCAGTTTGTGCATAGTTGTTTATTAAGCTTGTTGGCTTGTAAGGACATAAGAAAGAAGGAACACTGCAGCAGGCTTACTGGCCCATGCGAGGACCAAGCCTAGTCAGGGCAGGTCTTTAATTTGTTCTTAAGGAGTGGGAGTGAATAGGACCTACCTAAGTTGGAAGAGTAGGCCTACCCCAGTGCTCCCTGTTTTTCTTGTGCTTATTTTATTGTTATGGAATGAAATAAGTGCTGCTGATTATCATTTTTCCAAACTTATAGTTTTACAAAGAACGGGTTAAGTTTGTGTTAAGATTAAAAAACCTAACTACGTACAGCATTTAGTGAACTTCTGTGTAGCTTTAGTAATATATTAATATTTTGATTTATTAGTTTGAGTTTTAGCCAAAATACTATATATGTGAAGTTCAAGGGATCTCTGGCATTACCAAGCTGTCGTTCAGCCAGGTATCTACGATGTTTTACCATACTGGCAAAAAAGTTATTTACTACATAGCTTTATTAAAACTTTCGGGAAGTACTAAACCAACCTAAGCCAAAATTATGTTGGATATCTCCTGATTTTATTTAAACAAGTCTAACCTGCCACCTGGATAACTTAACATTGCTGTAAATAATTGTTCTTACCAAATGGTTTAAAATATTTGCCAGAAAAATAAGTGAGTGACTGGATAGTGTAGCCGATGCTCAAAGTTTTAAGATGTTAACCATATGGCAGATATTAATTTATAGAAAAGGCCTGTATGTCTGCAGGGTACTTAAGGTTTTTATGTTAGGAAACAAGGCATTGTTACCTAACACTGATCTTAACCTGTAAACGATCCAAACGTATATATACGTTTTTTCAACATTTGGAAGTATGTAAAAAGAATAGATCTTTTTGTTTTTCTACATTTGAAAATGTGTAAGAAAAAACTTTTATCTACTTTTTTTTTTGTTAAATTTGAAAATATGTAAAAAAAACTTAGATCTACTTTTGTAGTACTACACATGTGAACGTAGATCTGCTTGGACCGTTTACGGGTTAATGATGTGATGACACATCAGTGGTAAATCATTCCTTAGTCTACTCCCACTTATGTTTAATACATCATTTAAGTACATAAAACAAAGGATATTCACCAATTTCATATCTGTTATTTACATAAAGTTTAGTTATCTTCAAAGTCCATTATTAGTGTGTATTCTGTATTGAAAAGCAGGGCTGGCAAGTCCAGGGCCCAAGAGTGTTCAACGGTTTCCCACCATGCATAAGGGTAATAGATCCCTGGGTTCCCTTAAGAGGGAACTGGGCAGATGCCTAAAGTCAGTGCCTGACTGTGGTTCGTATGTTGGATTGCGTGTGGGCAGCAGTAATAGCCTGGTTGATCAGGCCTTGATCCACTGGTGAAGGACTGATTTGCAGGGGCACTGACCCTCTGAATGACCTCCAGGTAGATGTCCAGCAAATTCAAGTTTTCAAATTGCTGATGTTAGTGAGTTAGCCAGGTGACAGGGCTGGTAACTAGTTGCAATATAACCAAGAGTTGTTCAGTGTCAAAACTTCTGACTGATTGGTTACTTGTTAATGTTGGTGAGATCACTGGCATTCTCTGTATGATGTAAATATAATTTGGCATTGTGGATTGTATTTTCATCTAGAGCCATGACTAGAATTTTACCTAAAAATACATTTAATAGATATACTGGTAATAAATTTCTAGTACAGTGTCTTAGGTTGGCTCTAAGTCTACATTGTAATCAGTTGACTGATATCATAACAAATCATATTGTCAGTAGTACTGTGTACATATGTAGTATACTGTTAAATCCGTTACTTTATAGAGATGCTCCCTGGCTAGCCATGACGTCACGAGTCCTGCTCATTTGAACTGCTGCTACAGGCCCCTATGGGCAATACCCATTAGACCTAAGCTGCTCGTAGGCAAGGCTTTGGGCTCCCCTCAGATCACTTTAATATTCGCCTCCAAGACATCCAACGTGTGTTTGTTACTCCAAAATCTCCTCTGAACCCCCACAGCAATATTGGGTCCTGCTGAAGGCTGCTTTTATACGAGATGTTTGAATTTAGAGTTCTTGGGTGTTTCAGCATAGGTATTGGTCCTTGCATTTGAAACAAGCTTTTTGGTGCCAGTCCATGAGGGGATGTGCAAAGACTTGTACAGATGTAAAATCTTGGTGTTTAGGCAATGCAGTTAATTTCAAATTTAAGTTGTAAAGTAGCTTAGAATAAATCTTTAAGATTTGTCAATACATTTTGCTGCATTGACATCATGGTGCTAGGCAAAATTAATGATTTTACAAATAAACAAAGTCACGAGTTATCTAGGAGACAGGTTCGGTGACTTTAAAATATCACTAGCTATCTAACCATGTAATATAGGTGTAGGTTAATACTTGTCAATACTTTCAGTAAATTTATGTGGGAGAACTTTTTACCAGTATGAAAATATTGGAGGCTTTTGACCAAATGAGGATTCCTCACATGCTAAATGGACTTTTTCTTCCAAACCTTCTACTCCTATGAAATTTCCTGTTCTTTGCCTCTCTGTATTTCCAGTCTCTCAAGTCTTATCAACTCTCTTCAATCCTTAGACATCAAACCTACTTTTTTGCCAAACAAACTCCTCCCTTTGTAGTAATTGGTTCGGACCTCTCCTCCTACTGATGCTTTTAGAGTCTACTCCATTTCCTGATACTCTTATTCTCTCCAGTACTTTGGATAAATTGGCCATTGTCTTTCTGACAGACTTAAAGAGCACAAAAATAGCGTTAGACTTGCCGACTCTAATTATACTCTTTTTCTGACATGTTGGAGATTATAGTCATCCTATTACCTGGTCCTCTGCCAAAACCTTCTAACCTTCACAGTCCCCTGTCTTGTTGAAGCATCCCTAATACACAATGTTCTTAATATGAATCTTATTACTACTACTATAACTGCTACTAATACTTTTACTGCTACTAATACTTTTACTGCTACTAATACTTTTACTGCTACTAATACTTGTACTGCTACTAATACTTGTACTGCTACTAATACTTGTACTGCTACTAATACTTGTACTACTAGTAATACTTGTACTACTAGTAATACTTGTACTACTAGTAATACTTGTACTGTTACTAATTCTTGTACTGTTACTACTACTTGTACTGTTACTACTACTTGTACTGTTACTACTACTTGTACTGTTACTACTACTTGTACTGTTACTACTACTTGTACTGTTACTACTACTTGTACTACTACTACTTGTACTGTTACTACTACTTGTACTGTTACTACTACTTGTACTGTTACTACTACTTGTACTACTACTACTACTTGTACTACTACTACTTGTACTACTACTACTACTACTTGTACTACTACTTGTACTACTACTACTACTACTAATACTTGTACTACTACTACTAATACTTGTACTACTACTACTAATACTTGTACTACTACTACTACTACTTGTACTACTACTACTACTAATACTACTAATACTTGTACTACTACTAATACTTGTACTACTACTACTAATGCTTGTACTACTACTACTACTTGTACTACTACTAGTACTTGTACAGTGGAACCTTGGTTTTCGTCATAAATTGGTTCCAGAAAGTCTGATGAAAACCGAATTCAGTGAAAACTGAAGCAATATTTCCCATAAGAAATAATGTAAATCCAATTAATCCATTCCAGACACCCAAAAGTATTAACAAAAAATACATTTTATAGAGAATAACTATAATTTTACATACAGAAAACAAGGAGAAATAAATATAAAGGACTAATGAAATGGATAAACGAACATTTAACATCATTTTTACCTTTACTGAAGACTTGTTGGCGTATGGAAGACGGCGAGGAAGGGAGCGGGAGGAGAGGTTATCTCTGCCACCATCACTACCACCCTCTACCACAGTCACTACTACCCTCTACTACAATCACTACTGCCCTCTCCTACAATCACTACCACCATCACTACCACCCTCTACCACCATGACTACCACCCTCTACCGACAGGAAACAATACCAGAACACGTGGGATGCTTTGTGTGGGTATGGGCGGACACATTTGGTTTAGCGGACCACTGTCAACTTGACAAAAACTGAGGTGATGAACGAAAAGTGGGTCAAAATTTTGATGAAAAATGTTGTCGAAAACCGAATTTGACGAAAACCAGGGCAAACAAAAACTGAGGTTGCACTGTACTATTACTACTACTAATACTTCCACCACCACACTACCTCCTCTCATTCCGACCCTGTCCCCTTTCTTGTATATATGCTGCCTCCCTTCCTTTCGTGGTTCTGTGTGACTAGTTAATGGTCCAAGTCGGACTGAAATGTCGTCATAAGCTTAATTCTCCAATGTGGACATTCGTGTAGTGTATGATGACTTGCGAAAGTGGAGAGATTACTTGTATTTCCAACATATCAGTGACATCAGCATAATATTTTATGGTTTGGCACTAATTTAGCTTTGTATTGTGAACTAATTTTTTTACACTATTGATAAAATAGTACTGCACTTGCCATCATAGAAATGAAAATAGAGGTGTTACTGGTTGCCTACCAAGCCTAAGTCTGTACTTTGAAAAGCACTGAGGCATAGGATTCTGTTACTTGTCAGTTCTAAAAATTTTGATACAGCAGTGCTTTTTTTGTTATTTTAACTATAAAATTTGATTCTGCTCAGAATTTTTAAGAATGTACTCTCTTTGTAGTCAAGTTTAATTTCTTAATAAAGTTAACAACTGCAGTTTAGCATCTATTAATATTACATCAGATATTCGTCTTGTTTTCTGTAAGCAACATATATACCGTATATCACTATATAGGTACTCTATGTTCTTTCTCATAGTTTACTGTGCAGCAACAACTGACCTTTAAAATTCTTGAGTAAATGACTCCATAAACGGGCTTTATATTTATAAGTACAGCCTCTCCTCTCTTAGCAACGTACTTGTTTACCAATGCCTCGGACTTATGACGGGCTCTCTGACTAGTGTGCTTACGACGGGCTCTCTGACTAGTGTGCATACCTACATAATGTATATTAGAGCTGATTTCCTCTATTCTGATTTTCTTTTCCTAACACAGAAGTTCTTTTGGTAATATTTCCTTTCCAATTTCATGAGGCTTGGTCTAAGACAGGGCCATAGTTGTGATGATCCCTAAAACCATAAACAGATATGTATAATAAGTATGGATGTAATTTGTGACTCACTAGTAAGTGACATTAGCTGCTATATGTAGCATAACTTTACTCATGACATTATAAGATGCTGTATGTACTAGGTCTGTACTGTGTATAAAAAGCATAAAACCGAAAATGCTTGATTATCGTCAAACTAGGTGTGCTATTAGTTCCCAGAGGTTTACAAGATTAACAAGAAATTCTTTTGGCATTTTGCAATGTTATAAGCAACAATGTAAAATGGCATTTTCATCTATGGAGATGGTTTTAGATATGAATGAGTTTTTCAAGTGTATTTCCTTAGCTGTCAGAACCTCAGACAGACAACCTTTGCACAGTTATGAAAATGGTATGCAGTACTGACAAGTTGATCAGTAATACACAGGTGAAGAAGTTGAGTACCTTTATTGTTGAAGTATTTTATCTATACAGTAGTCTTCTTCAGTCATATAGAGGTGACTAAAAAATATGGAGACAGCAAAAGCAGTGGTGAGGTAAAGGTGTGATCGGTCCATGAACCTTGAAGTAATTTTTGAGGATGTTGGTCTCTCAGCCTTGAGAATATTCAGCTCCATAGGGACTGACTATGAACTGTTGCAAGAACTTTGAGGGTGGACTGATTACTTCATCTTTACCTTCCCACTGCTTATGTTGTCTCCATATTTTTAGCCACCTGTATTTGACTGAAGAAGCCTATTGTATAGCAAAATACCTTAACAGTAAAGATCTTCAACTGTTGTACATGTTTTACTCATTAACTTTTGCACATTTTAGCATGAAATGGTTTATTTGTACAGCTCAGCTCCCAAGTGTGAAGCAAGAAACTTAGTCTTATTTGAGTTTTTTTTTTTTTTTTGATGAGAATTGGTATTGAAATTTGGCCACCACTGATCTAAATGTATTAAAGGAATGAATGCAATTTTATATAAATACCTGTAAGATTGAAAAATGTAAAATTCAGATAAGACTTAAAAATTGTCAGATTGAACTAATTTATATTCATTAAAAGGATATATTAAGCACAGTTATGGAAATACATAAGAGTGGAAGGAGCTGTAATGTTGCTGAACAATTATACAATATTAGGGGACTTTAAAGTAAATGTTAACTAGAATGAAAACTAAAAGTATTGTAAGTGTTTAGCAGGACTTCTTTCACTGGCTAGAAAGCCTTCTGAATCGTTCCTTTGTTATTACAGTGGACCCCCGGTTTACGATATTTTTTCATTCCAGAAGTATGTTCAGGTGCCAGTACTGACCGAATTTGTTCCCATAAGGAATATTGAATTAGATCAGTCCATTTCAGACCCCCAAACATACACGTACAAACGCACTTACATAATTGGTCGCATTGGGAGGTGATCGTAAAGCGGGGGTCCACTGTAGTTGGATTATTATCAAAGTGGCTCGGGTAATTTGCATTGGGTTTTCTGGGTTTTAAAAGCTACAGTTTATAGTTTTTTAATTAGAAATTAAGGTTGTTTAAAAGTACTGCACGGTATTTTTAATTACTTTACACGTTTAAATTTTGGGGTACAGTATTACCAAATCGTGTTTTTATGCTGACGAGAATAACCTTTTTGCTGCTGTTGGTGGAATGTAGGAAAAGTATAATACCAACACTTCAACTAACATTAGGACAAACATCTACAACAAACAAAAGCTTGGTAACCCAGTAAATATCAAAAAATTTCATTTTAGGGATGACATTTTTAAGCTAAAATTTTAAGTAACTGATGTTTTACTTTGATCTCTGAGAAATTAATCTATGCACTTTTCCAAAATAGCTATTAAATCTGCTATTTAATTTGAACTACCAGTGAATTAAAAAAGCATTGGAAATATTTGGTGAAATATATGTCAGTTAAACAAGACAATGGTGGTTATGTAATGTGTAGATGGAATGTAATACAGGTAGAGTATATAATAAGGATGAGACAGCAGTAAATAATCAGTACAGTAATTTGAATTTTTCTGTCATTAAAGATACGACTAGTTAATGATTCAAGTTGGGCCAAAATGTCATCTTAAGTTTGTCTCCTACGTGCAAATTATTTGTGTATAAAAGACAATTTACACATTATTTGTGTAACTTTGATTCATGTGTCCAAAAGTCTCATTTTCAAAGCAGATACATTGTTGAACTGAACTTGACTTAAACCATCTTTGACTTTTCTTGCTAACTACTTCCCTTTGCCAGTAGCTTGCCTCAGCATTAATAGTGCTTCATGACCCATAAAAAATTTGGTGTATTTTGTGAATACTGTGTTATAATGATCTCTCTGAAAGCCTTGTGTAATTAAAACAAACCTTTATGTAAATATGTACCCTATTCTTTACTGGGTTTTCTAATGAACCAGGATAAGGAGCTCCTTTGATTTTCAGTTCAATCAGTTTGTAATAACTGCTTGTTATTGTCTCTTCCTAACTTTTTGGGGTTATCCTAGGTAATTTCCATATATGTTATCAGGTATGATAATTGTGCTTAAGTGTACCAGTACCTAAATAAACTTTCTTCCATTGAACGAGGTTTCAAAAGAAAAACTCTAAGCTGCACAAAATTTTCTTTTACTGTGCACTTAATGTAATATAGTTATTGAATGAAAATTAATAGGTTATTAAATTTTTATGGTACCCACTGACAAAATATATTCAATAAATCAATGTTCATGTTGTACAATGTAATATAATTCAGGGTTACTTTTAGTACATTACTCCTAGCTGTGAAAGTAGCAATTTGTGCTATTGTGTGACGAATATAGCAAATACCTAACCTAACTGAACCTAATCACGTAGTAGACGAAAGTGCACTTTTGTCTTACTATGCTAAATTTCTTGCTGTAATGTTTATACTATACATGAACAAAACTACTGTACTGTCTTTCACAGATGTCAGCTATGTAATTATGCAAGCGGTCTGATCATTCAACACTGTTGTGTATGCAATACGTACTCAATTGTTGAACATTTGAAGGCTTGGATAGGTGCTGTATCACATCACATAGGTATTAAAGTTATAAAACTAGCAAGGTGCTAAAAAATTTGGGACTTGATTAAATGATTGGCCAGTAAAATTTTCATGCACATTATTTTTTTATTATTACCTTTTGGAGGGTGTGGTGTAGCCTCCTTAAAAAGGAGGCAGGCATTCTCTTAACTTATAGATTGCATAAATGGATGAGCTGCTAGGTTATCATTTGTTTGCGTTTAACTTTTTTCAGTGGGTTATAATAATTGAATCTATCATTCAAAGTATAATTTTACATAGGAAGATTAACTTTAGGAATTTGCCTTGTGAAAAAAATTCCAGATGGTGTTTGCTTCTGCACAAATGATCTTGGAATATGGCTTCTTTTAAAGACTTCTCTAAAATACTATACTGTATACTATTACTGCAAACAAACAAAAACATTTGAGATGTTAATAATTGAATTATTTTTAAAATATGATGTAGTAAAACCCCTCAGATAACCAGAGCAAGTGATTTGTCCTTTGATAATGCACTGTAATTTATGTCATCCTCTACAAACAAGTAGGCTTTGATGATTTCCTTGACAGATTTAACCCTGCCTTTCTCAGGTATTTAATTCTTTCTTTGTTCTTTTTTTTTTTTTTTTTTTTTTTTTTTGCAGATAGTATACAAGGTGGAGGGGGGCGAGGATGGGGGCAGATCAGCAATTTTGCCTCCGATGGAACAATTTTCACACTAATATTACCTCAGCATTTGAGTCCTTGAGAGATGATGAGGACTTTGTTGATATCACACTTGCCTGTGAAGGCAGACAGATAAAAGCACACAAAATGGTCCTTAGTGCCTGTAGTCCTTACTTCAGAAGTTTGTTAAAAGTAAGTATAATGGCAAGTGTATTTTGATAAAATTCTATATATTTCATATATTAAAATGTGCCTGTACTGTATATGAAATAAGATTTTTAAATGTACATTTTTTATTTCAGGGTAACCCATGTCAGCACCCAATAGTATTTCTTAAAGATGTGACATTTGCCAATTTGACTTCTATATTGGACTTCATGTATCATGGAGAAGTCAATGTATCACACAATGAGCTGGCAACCTTCCTAAAGACTGCTGAGGCACTCAAAGTTAGAGGACTTGCAGAAGATGAAAAGAAAAAAGTACGTGGTTTAATTGTATTTGTTATATCAATTATAAACTTTCCTACAAAAGTATAAAATGCTTGATAAATGCATTGAATAATTGTGATGAATTATTAATATTTTCTCTAGAAAGTCGAGATTACTTAAGAGATCACTTAAAAGATAGTTTTGGTGCAAAAGTGGATATGGCCAATAGAATCTGTTAACTGAAGTATTGTCTTAGTTAATTTTTAGTTTTGATTTACTTGTATTAAAGGCTTGATACAAATAAATACTTGTGGTTAAATTTACGTTATTGAAAATATTCAAAAGCTCTGTATTTCCTCAAGTACAATATTATTTTTTCTTAGTTGCTGAATTAATACAAATAAATTGTTGCCCATAAGAACATTTAGTTATGTTCTGCATTTTAAGTTTTGTGCTAGATACCAATACGTTAAACCCTTTATAATAACAGACCTCAGTATAATGGGCTTTTAAAACTGGAGATAAAATCCACTGGTTAACAGTAATTCTAACGTTTATTTATTTATTGTACTGTAATATGTATCTAAATTGTGTACAGTACTATATTAGATATACAGTAAGAGTATTTTAGTGTTTTTTTTTTTTTTGACACCTATATAAAACTCACTCCCTATTAGTCCATTATATCGAGAGTTTACTGTATATTTTGAGTAATATGTTAAGATTATTGTGAATGTCTTGACAAGATTTTAAATAATGTGAATTGAATAATATACTAAATAGAAAATTCCCAAATACAACTCAGACTGGTGTCAAGTCAGCAAATACAAACAGGACTAGCATCTTGGCAACTTGTGAACTGCATGTAAAGGGTAAAAATTGCATAATTTACATAATCTTATTTTTTCTTACCTTCAAACTATTCTATAGTATCCCATTCCTTATTGCCTATATATCATATGAAACTTTATTTGTTGATGAATTTGGAACATTAAAATAATCTAGATATTTTAACCTGAAGAGTGTTTTCTTGATTCTTCTTTTAGGATGCTGAGAATTACAATGAGTCCAGCTCGCCTCCCCCACCTAGAGACCCTCCTGACCCAGGGTCGCCTCGGCCTGAAGAGGGCAGTAGTGCTCCTGATACACACCTCAGCGACTCACCCCCACCCAAGCGACAGAGACGGCGGTCGGGGGCCTCTTTACACTCTGCAGAAGACACAAATGAAACGGTGCTAAGTGAAGCCAGGGACAGTAGTGTGAAAAATGAGCCTCTGGACTTTAATGAGGAAGAAGATATGTTAAGTCAGAGTGTGGAGCAAGATCTAATAAAGACAGATATAGATGACAGTGAGGAACGAAGCTTTGGTCCTTCTGAATCTGTAACAATTAGTAGGAGCCAGGCAGCTATGCAGCAATTACAAGAATCATTTGGGTCGTTCCTGCCAGGTATGGGCCAGAGTCCGGGCTTCCTCCCTCAAGGTGCTACTGACATGCCAAGACCTCCACCCTACCCATTGGAGGGAGTTCAAGGTAAGCACCAAATTTAGTTTTAGTAGTTTATTCCCCCCACCCCCCTCGCCTCTTTGAACAACTATTGGTTGTATAGATTATATTTTTCCGACAGTGGTGTTCTTCCGATGTCTTCTTTTGTCTAGTGTAGCTACATTCTGTATTTAGTATTGTATCCTTAAGGTTACATTTTTAGAATCTTTTTATATTGGCTTTAAGGGTTTTGTTTATTGTGAATAGGTTTATTTGATTATCACTGTCATTTACCCCCCCAACTCTTCCCTTGCTTGGTGTTGGCTTTTTTCTCTGTTCACATTCTGCCTTGTTATACCAGGCAGTGTTTACACAAATAGTTTGTTGTTTTATTTCATTTGGAATATTGAGAAGTAGTTGAGTATTACATACTGAAGAAAAAACACTTTGCAGAAATACTTTTGATGCTTTAATAGCTTTGTATATTGACAAGCAAAATGGGTATTACGGCTGATTTTTTTTTTTTTTTGTTCAAATGGAAGCATGAATTGTATGTGGATCACTCACACATTACGCATTTTATTAATGATATTTTGTTCTAAAGTGGTGTACAGCATTGCTATCATTTCATTTAATACTAATATGGTAAATTTATTCAGGATAATTAATGCTGCACCTGTTTGCTATTACGTTATGAGTTTAGTGCTTCCCACTGATAAAACTACACCTATTCTTCGTAACCAAATCATACTCTGGGTACAAATAACCATTGGTAACAGACCATTGTATCCTTGGCAGGATACAATGGTCTGTTACCAGTGGTAAAGACTTTTAACCCTTTGACTGTCGAGACCCCAAATCCTGAAGTCTCTCTCTGTCACAAAATATTTGGAAAAAAAAAAATCTTATGAAATGATAGAGAATCTTTCCCCGATGGTAATACATCAAAAATAAGAAAGTTGATGGAAAACTTAATTAAATTACGCTCTTGCAATGTTAAGAATCTCGGCGATATATATACGCATCGTTGATTTCGTCCACTTTGAGCCCTGTTTTTGGCCAATTCCATTGTTCCAGTTGACCAATCTCATAGCTATTTCTTTAGAAGTCCATTTGTTCTATTGATTGAGTATGAGAAACCACCCATTTACCGATTACAACTACCCAGTAAAGTGGTCAGAAATTGGCAATTTGGCCAATTTCATGCAACTTAAAAAGATGCCAATTTCAAAATAGGGTCCAGAATAAACAATGCATACATTCATTGCACTAAAATAACATTTTCTCTGTTCATTAGTCACATCTCCAAGCTCCTCTTATATTACTCTTTCTATTTTGAATTTTTATTCACACACAAAAAATAGAAGGTTTACTGTTATGCAGACTACTGCATTATTGTAATAATTGTATAAATAGTGTCAACCCATTCGTGATTGTGTATTAGCATGACTAGTTGGACAAGTAGTGGAAGGTGACGTCATTTGTTTACTCTTGAACATCGGCAAAAATCAAACATTTCCCCTACTTTGAACTCGATTTCAAGGTCCTCTTCATAGTGAAACCAATCAAAATCATGTCTATTTCTGTAATATATCTTCCATTCTATCAAATGAGACCAAGGAAACTGGAATACAACAATAAATACTATACGAAAATACGACTCAAAGTCGGCGTTTTAAGCCAAAAACACTTTGAGTTTTTTTTTTTCTCATTATGTACTGCATGCTGCAGGATTTTTTTCTTTATACTGCGCACACAGACCCATTCTCTCACATGTGGGCCTACCAGCTTTCTCCCGCTTGAGTTCAAGCCTCTAGAATTTTGGTGTATTAATACGTCAAACACACTGGCTCGAAAGATGTATTTATACGACACCGACAGTCAAAGGGTTAAGATTATTTTATCACATTCACGTTAATCTCTGATTGTGGATCCTTCAAATCCAAATCTTTATTTCCAAAATTACTGTATGAAGCTTAAAGTAATCTGAAGGCCCATATAATGCACAGGTTGGTTGCTGTTTGGCAGCATTCCTATTTTTGTCATGGGGGGGGGGGGGTACCAGCCACATGAGCAATAATAAATGGGCAGACTGACAACACACTACAGTCAAATTCCACTTGATACTCTGAATATTCTGTTGAAGATTTCAGTTTTCAGTTTTTTTTTTTTATAATTTAAGCAGTTTTAGCTTAAAAATGTTATACTTTTTTTATTTATAAATGAAGTAGAAGATGGGCATAAATAAATGAGATTCTGAGGATATCCGTTCAAGAAAGAAAGAAAAATAAATGGATTCAAATTGGATAAGTATAGGTTAAGAAAAGATATAGGAAATTACCAGTTTAGAAATAGAGTAGTCAGTGAGTGGGACAGTATGACTAGTATGACCATTGAAGCTAAAACCTTCAGTAGCTTCAAAAACAGGTTAGATAAATACATGAGTGAGAGGATTTGGATTTGAGTGGGACTTTCATAACATGAGTTAATAGATTATCAAAGTTTTTTCCTTGGGTAGCACTTAAAATGGGTTGAGCAAATATTTTTGGTTGGTGGTTTGGGTTTGAGAAGTACCTGCCTAGTATGGGCCAGTAGGCCTGCTGCAATGGCTCTCCCTGTGTACTCTTCAAGATTTCACTGTCCAAACTCCCGATTTGAAACTTGTCCACAGTGTCCCAAAAAATATAAAAAAAAAAAAAGTCTTATGAAATAGAGAATCTCTTTCTGAAGGCAATTAAACAAAATGTATGAAATTTGATGGAAAATTAATGAAATTACACTTTTGTGAATTTTGCTACATCAGCGATATTGCCCAATTTGAGTCCTATTTTAGGCCAATTACATTGTTCCATTCTACCAAATTCTTAGCTATTTTGCAAGTATGTCTTCCATTTTATCAATTTGAGTACAAGAAATAACATAATCAACTATTTTAACTACCTAGTATAGTGATCATAAATTGGTAATTTGGCCAGTTTCACATAAATTTAAAAATATTCCAATTTCAAAATAACGTTTAGAATAAACATTGCAAGCATTCCTGGCACTAAACATTTCCTCTGAATTCCATTTTAATTTTTTCACGAAGAATTTTTATTCACACAAAAAGATATATGATTTAGTGTTATGCAATATTTTAATAATTGTGTAAATATCAGTGCATTTGTGAATGCGTATTAGACTTGCCAGTTGGACATTTATTGGACGAGTGATGTGATTTGCTTACTCTTGAATATTGGCAAAAATCGAACATTTCCGCTACTTTGAGCTCAATTTCAAGCTATTTTCAATCCTGAAATTGAATTGTTATAATCTCTATTTCTGAAATGTATTCCACTCTATTAAATGGGACCAAGATACGAAGAATACAACTATGAAAACCATATGAAAATACACCACAGAGTCGCTGTTTTAAACCAAAAACATGGTCGCAATTTTTTTTTCCTCATTATACAGTGTGCTGCAGGATTTTTTTATATGGTGCACACTTATCACAGACACATTCATATCTAGGTCCAAATTTACCACTCGCAGTTTACGGGGCAGTCAGTTAAAGGGTTAAAGAAGTGTAGCAACCTGTAGGTTACCTGTAGTTGCTTTCAGAGGTCACAGACCCAGACTAGGCTTTTTGGTTTAATGGCCAGATCACTTGGGCTATTGGTGCCTGGTATAAGCATCACTGCCAAGGCTGATGCGGGACTGATTTGTTAAGGAATTGTCGAGTTCCATCCAAAACTTTTTGCCGTATATGGGGATTAATTCTTCAATAAGTTCTCAAACGTTACTGGGTGTTGAAAATCATCAGACATTTTCTATGGCACCATCTTACATTGTTTAAATTTTAGCCTAGTAGGTATACATAAAAAATTTATACTGTATATATAGTAATTATGTAACATTTTTATAACGTTAGATTGTTTTCATGCTAGATGCTGCATTCTGTCGACCACAAGAATTTCAGATATACCTTTTAGCAAAAATAGTTGATAGTATATAGTACGTAGGTGCTTCATATACCGTAAGTGTCAGCATCTTATTTTGTGTGGTTTTCCCCCAAAATTTAATGGTATTTTGTGCTGCAACTTAGTAGATGTAGTGTATAACCTTAAAATGGAGAAGCAGACACATCAGTTTGTTTTATCAGTAGTATTTTGCAAAATTTCATTGAGAGAAGGTGCATTGCTATGGTGGGTAGGGGATGTGTAGATCAAGTGTTTACATTGAAGTATATATGTGAACAGTATTTAGATAAAGGTAGGGAAGTTTTTATTGCATTTATGGATTTAGAAAAGGCATATGATAGTGGATAGGGGAGCAATGTGGCAGATGTTGCAAGTATGTGGAATAGGTGGTAAGTTACTAAATGCTGTAAAGAGATTTTATGAGGATAGTGAGGCTTAGGTTAGGGTGTGTAGAAGAGAGGGAGACTACTTCCTGGTAAAAGTAGGTCTTAGACAGGGATGTGTAATGTCACCATGGTTGTTTAATATATTTATAGATGGGGTTGTAAAAGAAGTAAATGCTAGGGTGTTCGGGAGAGGGGTGGGATTAAATTATGGGGAATCAAATACAAAATGGGAACTGACAGTTACTTTTTGCTGATGATACTGTGCTTATGGGAGATTCTAAAGAAAAATTGCAAAGGTTAGTGGATGAGTTTGGGTGTGTGTAAAGGTAGAAAGTTGAAAGTGAACATAGAAAAGAGTAAGGTGATGAGGGTATCAAATGATTTAGATAAAGAAAAATTGGATATCAAATTGGGTAGGAGGAGTATGGAAGAAGTGAATGTTTTCAGATACTTGGGAGTTGACGTGTCGGCGGATGGATTTATGAAGGATGAGGTTAATCATAGAATTGATGAAGGAAAAAAGGTGAGTGGTGCGTTGAGGTATATGTGGAGTCAAAAAACGTTATCTATGGAGGCAAAGAAGGGAATGTATGAAAGTATAGTAGTACCAACACTTACATGGGTGTGAAGCTTGGGTTGTGAATGCAGCAGCGAGGAGGCGGTTGGAGGCAGTGGAGGTGTCCTGTCTAAGGGCAACGTG